CTTGTAGTGAATGCTTCTCACATTAAGTACATGCTTAGCCACACATCAACACACTTTCTGTCCTTGCTGTGTTTGTAAAGCTTTTCACATGGGCCCAGCATCCCAGCAGGGGGAAAGGGCAATCTGTCTTCTCTCCACTGAAAAGAAAGGACCATTCTCCAACTTTTTTTGTTTTCACACACCCCGCAGTCTTTACCTGCACTTTCTCATGTTGTGCTCCATCCACTGTGAAGTTCCTCCTCACTGCTGGTTGCATTTTAATTCAGTTTGAGCGCTTTACACCTGCCAATGAGGTTGGTATTGATTGGCATCGTCATTGGCCATCCTGTTGGTCTGTTAATTAGAAAGGTATCCCAGAGTTGGCTGAAATACTGCCGACAATTACCTGGCTAAAGCATAATAAAAAATACCTGATTGAGATTAATAGAGCTGGGAATCTGCCAGTACAATTTCTTGCCACAACTTCTGTGCTGTGTTCACATGTGAGCTGAAAGGTCTAACAATAAGACTTAAAGTTGAGCAGCACTGCTTTGATGTACTTCTATTTCATATTACATCCATTGCAAATCCCTTCATAATGCTTACATATAACAGGACTACATAAGTGCCACTTTATAAACATTCAAATCCTTCTAGAAATTGTATTTTAAACAAAAGTGTTTACTTAAATGTTGTCTATGGATTGGTCTGTCTCTGAACACTTTCTCACTTTGAATGATACAATTGTTCAATAAAAACTACCACTAGTAGAAAGAAAAAAAAAACATTACATAGTTTGAAATACTATGTGAAATCACAAAATCACATAATGTTTTATGTATATTTGGGCTGCATAATTCCGAAAAAAATAAACTTTGATTATTGCCATATTTATTTAGCGATATTAGATAGAAAGACAATTTTTAAAACATCATTCTCATTATCATTGAAAAATATATATGATAATGGTGCTATTCTTTAGGAGAAACAATTATTTGTAATGGAGAAGAATACTGATTGCGTGATACAATACTTGATTGTATCTATCAATTAAACTAGATGAACAATTTCCATTAGTTAAACTGCAAGAATGCCTCACAGACATAAAGACATGGATGACCTGCAACTTTTTATTATTAAACTCTGACAAAACAGAAGTCATTATACTAGGCCCCCAGCACCTTCGGAACAAACTGTCCAACAACATCATTTCTTCGGATGGTATTACCATGACCTCCAGCACCACGGTAAAAAATATTGGTGTCATCTTTGACGAGGATTTGTCTTTTATATCACATATAAAGCACATTTCAAGGGCTGTCTACTTCCATCTACGGAATATTGCAAAAATCAGGCACATCCTAAATCACAACAATGCAGAAACACTAATCCATGCTTTTATCACCTCCAGGCTGGATTATTGCAATTCCCTTTTATCAGGATGTCCAAACTCATCATTACAGACCCTACAATTCATACAAAATGCTGCAGCACGGGTTTTAACAGGAACAAAGAAGATGGACCACATCACTCCTGTTTTAGCAGCTTTGCACTGGCTACCAGTTAAGTCCAGGATTGATTTTAAAATACTTTTACTCACATACAAAGCACTCAATGGTCAGGGACTATCCTACCTACAGGATCTTTTAATCTCCTATTGCCCCTCTAGGGCATTAAGATCCCAGAGTGCAGGTCTGTTGGTGGTTCCCAGAGTCCACAAAATAAGATCAGGTGCTAGAGCTTTCGGCTACCAAGCCCCGTTCCTCTGGAACCAACTTCCAGTGACGATTAGGGAGGCAGACAGTGTCCACACATTTAAGAGTAGGTTGAAGACTTTCCTCTTTGGTACAGCGTACAGTTAGGACTGGTTTTAAACCCCCTTTTATACATCCTCATGGACCCTTCGTTTTATGGAATTGTAATTATTGTACTCTAACTGTATTTGTGTCATTGTGTTAAGTACCTCTTTTGATTGGTATTTTTTCACATTTATCTTGTAATATTCGTTTGTTGTTTTTACATTGTTTTACATTGCTTTTACATTGTCAATTGTGTTTGTTGATTTGTGAAGCCCTCTGAGACAAATATGATTTGTGATATTGGGCTATATAAATAAACTTGAATTGAATTGAATGGATTAAGATATGTTCACATCATTTGCCTTAAAAACTTGCATTATTATTTTGTTGTTGCTTTAATCAAAAGTGAATTGCTGTTAGCTTTGCCTTCTTGTGAAAACTCTCCTTAAACCCTCCCTGCCCTAAGTGGCACAGAGTCAGTTTTCTCTGCATTAATATTCATGTTACTATTTTAACTTCTGCCGGCCCATGTGTCAGTGTACAAGCTCTGGGCATCATGCCATATGTGCATGCATATTTTTGTGTTCATACCTCAACATGAAACTCTTGTGCACGTGTTCATGTGTGTGTCCAGGCCCTGGCGGAGGGACAGACGGCGCCCTGGGAGACGGCCAAGAAGGACGAGAACCGCAACAAGAATCGCTATGGCAACATCATCGCTTGTGAGTACTGCAATGACATGGACGGACTAAGGAGTACTCTTTGCTAAATATGGCTATGGTCCTTTAGCTCAGTTTGAATGAAGTTAGGCCTGGTGAAATTTGGTTTGGTTACGTTTTGTCTGGGTTGGTTTTGGTTTGGCTTATTTCAGTTGTGTTGGTCTAAGTCTGGTCTGATTTGGTTTGTTGGTTATTTTTGTGTCATTTAACTTCAACTAGATGTTTATTAGATACAGATAACTTTCTCTGTATAGGGTCCTGCCTGAACGAAGCTTGGCTTGGTTTGGTTTGTTTCCTTGTCATTTTCAGTTGCTAGCGGTTTGGTAAAGTAATATCATGACTGAATGGGTACGCCTCAAACACCTTCAAGTTATCTCCATTTTGTGTTATAAGATAGCCAAAGAGACAGATTAGGACTGTTTAACTGTTTATGTACTTCTCAAAATTGATTTTAACATTTCAATTATCTGAAGCCAACAAGTACCAGAAGTGAGAATCACACACAAAAGTGTGGTCGGATAAATAGTTTTTGGATATCTTTTCTGGTTTTAATAAAACTCTTAGTATCAGACTATTTGAAGTGTCATAAACAATCTAATTAGGTCAAAAACTAAGGTATCGTCAGGAACCTGGTATAAAAAGTTTTCAGCGGTAAGAGAGAGGTTTGAAAATACACATTGATTCTACTACTGAGGAGAGATAAGGTCCAACCATAGTTTTAATAAAGTGTGCTGAGGTACCATGTTTACTGGGTGAAGCGACCGTCCTTCAGCTGGAGGACACCATCTGCCCTGAAGCGTCCTTCACAGAGTCTGACTGACTCCTCCAGCTCGGGGTGGGTCCCACTGATGGACCTTACCCCCTGCTGAGAGCCAGATGCCAATAGAACCTGGTTTTTGGCGGGACCAATTCACTAGACGCTTCAGAAGGATGACTCAGTGGCACCTTTTCAATCAAAGCATGTGTTTAATAGTAAATAACAAAAAAGATATGCAGCTTGAATAAGATACATCATTTTTCTAGAAGTTATATCAAAGTGTACTCACAGTACAGGGAACCGCTGTTGCGAAAATAACCCTTTTTGCAGTGGGAATATTTTCATCATATGATCAAAGCTTGCAGCCTTTATTTTATTCAAAGAGACTTTTGTCAAAGTTAAGCTTCATTTTGGCGAGACAGGCTGTTGTAATGATGTTCAGACGTAGCCTACTGCTTTTAGCATGAATGTGTGTTTGGCCATTAGAGTGTGAATTTGCATGTGAATAGGGCGCGGGTGTTTGCTATGATTTTGTGTGCACTAATAATGTGTGTGCGCTTGATATTGTATGAGGCCACCTCCAGCCTCTATTAGGATGCAACAATAGAAGCAGATTGTTAGGTTGAAGTTGTATTAAATGAGTGTGTGTGTGCCAGTAGACCCAAGAGCACATACATGACGAGTACAGTCCAGAAGACTGCTTTCATTTGGCAGTTCATGTGTGTGTGTGCATATACCGCTCCGTGCGCATGTCTCATTACGAGGGTTTAGATGTCAAGGCAAAGACACTGCACTAACCTGAAGGCTTTAAAATGAAACATTGCTCTGAAATGAAATAGCCTGTCAAAGACTTGATAGCCAACAGGAATTATGATAAATTTGCTATTAGTACAAATCCTTTAATTACAAGGGCCTGGTAATGGAAACTGTCCATCTTGCTTGCTGTGATTGCACAAAGGCTCATTTTCTAGAGAAAATGTTTGAAAGGGTAATTTTCTTCATGTCTTTATCAGAACAAGGACATGTGGTGAGAGTGGCAGGACGCTTGGCTGCGGCTAAAACTTTTAATATGGGTTAAAGGGTATTTATTCTTCAGTCAGGTTCACCTCTAATTCCCCTTTTCTAAGTGTGGATTTGCCTTCTGTTTTTTCAGCATGAGAGCAATAATCTCAGAACAAACTGCCTCAAGGAAGGACACAATGTCTCTTACATACTATGCTGGAAATGGAAATGTGGAATCATTACAATAGTTGATTTATATAGCAATACTCCTAAACAATATTTACAAATGAGTTGCAAACACTGGCAGCTATGAAGAAAACCTATCCTGATCCACTGCTTTCAAAAAAAGGGTCGACATGACCATATATTCCAAAAGACAATGGACTTTATTAACATAATTTACATAAAACAGACATCAGTCGTTTGTGACCGTAGCCTTTCCCTTTTTCCTCCTTGCAGTCAACATATACTATTATATATATATTGTCGTTTGGCAACTATAGAGCAAACCCCCCTAATTGCCCCCCAAGGCATATCTACGCTATCACGGGTTTGTGAGTCGCTTTTGACAAAAGTGTCATCTAAATAACATGTCATTTAATTTGAATGACACTCATGTAGTAACATAGTGTTACTTTACACCCATCCCTTTCCTCCTGACTGACAGGATCAAAAGTAAAAATGCGTACCTTCCGTTCAAACTCAAATCATTTTAAATGTGTATTGATTTCTACTACATAGAACCTGGTTTTAACAGAACACACACGTCAGTTAATGATCAGTATGCAAAATTGTCACTGCTTGTAACATTTTCTTTGAAAATGATGTTCATTTCCCGGCTCTCCCAATTTGAATGACATTCTTCACAAGGAATTTCATATTTTCCGTACACGCAACACTTTTCCATTCAAAATGAGTGGCTGCACCATAAGAGGCAGAAAGGGTAAAGGTTTGATTCTAAGAAGAGATACAGTATGACATCTATGTTTACTGCTTAAAGTCTGATCCTGTCCCCCAGGGACAGACCCTCTAACCCAGTGTTTGTCAAAGTGGGGGGCGCAGAGGCATGACAGGGAGAGACCAGGAGGAAAAATGGTTTTGAAAAAAAAAAAAAAAAATCATAATTTGAAAAATTATTGATTGGAAAATAATATGCTACAGTACAGTATAAGTACGTCTGGGTCTCTGTGTTTCATTCAAGCTCGGCTCTGTGTGTGTGTGGAACGAGCCATTTTGTGTGCGTGCACGAGAGAGAGAGAGAGAGAGAGAGAGAGCGCACCGGTACCAGAGATCGTTGTTGTTAGCTTCTGGTGCTAGCGAGCTACGCTAATGGATATAAGGAGCTTTTTCAACAACAAGGTGAAGGAGAGTCCTCTCCTGTCAGACTGAGAGGCTCAGTGAGCTAAAGGACTATCTGGGTGTTTAGATAGTTAACTTTAGTCTAAGTTATCTCAGTGGGTCTCAAACGGTTTGGTCACCATTAATGTAAACAATTATTTCCGAGGCACACGTTTATATGATCATTATAGTTCTAAAAAAATAAGAGAATAAATGAAAAACAGGTATGAAATACTGTATGACAGTTAAAAAATAATAAAGTTTAAAAGGGGAGCAATTTGTAAAATATCCATAAAGAAAAAGTAAATCTGTTTACAGTTCTGTTTCATATGGGTGTTGAGAGATGTATCCATAGATCTCTTCATTTTGCTCTCAAAGTGCACCAGATTGATGCATTTAACTTCAATATTTAAAAACAAATCTTCCCGGGGGAGCATGGGGGGACCCCCCTATGTGAGGTCCACTCCCCACTTGTAAAAATAGCACTTTACCCCTGCTTACACCTATATGCCGTGAGCTGATTATCGAGCCTCCATTGTAACAGTTGCAGGTACACTGTGTATTTGCGTGGGGATTGTTGCAGTAGAAAGTTCCACTGTAGCGCCCGGTACATTAATGGGAAACCCTAAATGTTTGAGCACCCTCTATGAAACGTCAAGCTACCCCACAGCACCCCCAAGAGAAATCTCTGGCGCCACCACTGAGCCTGCAACCCCGTTTTGAAGAAATGTGCAGTGCAAAACAGACTCATTGCAGCCACTAATGATAAGACACACTTTGCTGCCAAATATCAGCATTTTATTTATTTTCATTTTTTTGCACAGATTGCAAAGTGGCAAAGTATTATAACTTATTGTTCTAGCAAAGGGATTGCACAATTGTATTATGTATTTTTTTTTTTTTTTGAGCACACAGGCTTATGGAGCATTGTTTTATTATCAGCAAAGTGTTTTCTTTTTCTTTTTTTTGAAAGGAATGCTCACGTTCATATTGATGAACACTCCGAATCTGACCATACAAATCCCCTCAGAGGCAGCTGTGATAATCTTCCTATCCTTGTGAGGACATTTGACTTCTCTGTCACACACTTCCTCACTTCCTCCCTCTCTATCTCTCAGCGTAGTTTGGAAAGGGGCTGATTTGAGTTGAAGTGTTAACACACCGTCCTCCGGCCATCTGCCAAACACAAACGGCTGATGCCATGTTTGAAATCCCTTCAGCGCGCAGACTAAATGTTAATCAAGCAGCCTCCTGCCCCCCTGTCCCCTTAAAGCCTCCCCTCCCCCCCCCTCTCCCTGTTCCACTCCCAACTGTGATGTCCCCTCCTCATTCTGTTCACTTCTCTTTCTTCAATTGTACTTTACTCCTTCACTTCCTTATACTTGTTCATCTCTATACCCTTCTGTGATCTACTCTCCTCCCTCTTTTTTCACCAATCCCCCTTTTCTCACCTTCCTATTTTTCTTTTGGGATTTTCCTCTGCTCCCCCTTTATGTTTTTCTATTTTCTCATGTCATTCCTCTCTATTTTCTGTAATATCCAACCTATTTTCCATTCAAATGTCCCATTTAGTTTGACCTTTTCTTTTAAAACCTCTCTTCTCAGTACCCTTTACCCCCAAGCATCACCCTTCTAATTTTCTAAGCTTTTTCTCACCTTTCCTCTCCTCTTCCGCCCCCTCCATCCATTGCTCTTGTCTGATTACCTCTGACAGTATATGGGTTGAGGCAAAGCGCAGCACTGTTTCCTCATTACAGGCATCTGTCTGCTACTATTTCCTCCCCCCTCTCCCCCTTTCCTTCCGCTCTTCCCTTCTTCTTTTTCTTCTCCTTCTCAGCCCTCAGTTCATAGAGCGACCTCCCCATATGCTCATTTATAATTCAACAGAAGCATGCCTTCAAAATAA